ACACAAGAAAGCTGTGTGAAATCTGCTGTCTTTCTATCACCAGCATTTGTGCTGGAACCTGGATCTGTCTCTAACAAGTTTTACTACAACATTGGCTTCCCAAAAGGCCATATTGCTATCAAAAATTTCGATGCTGAAGTAGTTGATGAGGCAGGGAATCCTGTACCCCTTTACGAGACATATCTTCACCACTGGGTTGTTATAAGATATTATCATCGAAAAGGTGTGGAAGTAACAAAGTATCATGATGATTTGGGATTCCACCAATCAGATTTTATTGTCAAGAGAAACTCAGGGATATGTGATGGAGGCCTTTCTCAATATTTTGGCCTTGGGTCAGAGACGCGAAAAACAATCACCTATGTTCCAGATCCTTATGGAATAGAAGTTGGTAATCCAGTCGAAGTACCTTCTGGATACGAGGAGAAATGGTTGCTCAATGTACATGCAATTGATACACGAGGTGCGGAAGATAGATTGGGATGTACTGAATGCAGGTGTGATCTTTATAATGTTACCAAGGACGAGCATGACCGAGTTATAGGGCCAGATTACATTGGAGGGTTGAGATGTTGTTACGATGAAACAAGATGCAGGGTGAAAGACGGATTCCAAGGATCAAAGAGAAGCCTGTACCTGAAGTACACAGTGAAGTATATTGATTGGGATCCCTCCATCGTGCCTGTAAAAATTTACATACTTGATATAACTGATACATGGAAAAAGCCAGAAAAATCGACTGCCGCTGTGGCAAGACATCACTGCCAGGTGTGAGAGAAAATGATAATTTAGTTCATAACTCAAATCATTTTTAACTCTTTACTAATATTCAGGCAATTTCTTTTACTTCAGATTGAATATTTAGTGGAGTCATGTTCATCAGCTGTTGCAAATGTCGATTGCACTCATACAAAGAAGATAATTGTAACTTTTCCTAGCGGCGGAGACGTTATCTATGGAGTTGCTCATCAACATACAGGAGGGACTGGTATGGCACTCCATGGAGAGGTACTCTGAGCTATTATATTTTGTTTCTTTGGTTATGCTCTGCTTACAATCTGGATTACTTGTATATGTTTCTTATATATTTTCAGTCGATTAACTTATTGATAAAAACAAAGATTTTTGTACAATAAACTTTTTCATTTAATGATACTTGGCTTAGTTGGGTGTCATCTTAACACTGGTTATGTATGCCACGACTTTCAAGACCAGATTGATTGAATCCACATTTAGTCTCGTTCTCTTAACATCCGATAAAAGAGAAGTGTTGTTAGTGTTTATTTGACATGATTGTCATACTTCCAAAGATTATTTTGTTGATTCAAACTGTTATGTCCCAGACTGTCAGAATGGTATCATTTCAATTTATTTTCAATTAGCTGCAGAAAGCTTGATGTTTTTTAGTATACTGAATGGAGCCTCCTTCCCGTTGAGACAATTAATGGCCGTGTTATATTGTCTCCTTAGTTAATATAGTGGCCCCTCGATGAACTGCATCATTTTATAGGTGATAATATTGCTTCTTGATAGTTAACTGCTTTAGTTTTGTAAGTGCATAGGTGTAAGTTCAGTACTTGTGTGGGAACTCAGGAAGATAAGCTAGTGTATAATGACATGGCTATCGGGTAGTAAAGCAGTCATAATAGTTGTTGCGTGTTTGTATAGCATATTATTCTCAATTGTCATCATGATTAGCTAAGCAGATTTACTTGTTCTGATTTGTGGAGCACCTTGTTCGTTGGTGTTTGGTGTTGGTTATTTCTTAATTTCTTCTTGTCTGTTTCCGCTGCTTTGGTCTAGGATGGACGTGTCATATGCTCATCTCTTCCAATCTATGGGGAAGGAAAGGAACCAGGAAATGAAGCTGGTTACATTGTCGGGATGTCTACTTGTTATCCTAGACCTGGCTCTATCAAGATCTCGGAAGGGGAGACTGTAACTTTACTATCAAACTATAGCAATGCCCAAAGGCATACAGGAGTGATGGGGTTGTTCTATCTCTTAGTTGCTGAACCGTCACCGAAGCCTAATTCTATCCTACATTCCACAGATGAAGTAAGATCTTTGACTCATTAAAAGTTTTCGAGATTCAGAGTAGTGAATTTCCTACTTAAGTCTACACAAGATCATATATTTCTGAACTTGTTTCTTCTTCACTATTGCAGACAGGTGAGATTGTAATATTGCAGAATGCTATTGGAGCCTTGGCAGCAGTGTTTGGAATTGCACTACTTGTTGGTGCTGCTGTTATTTATCAACGTCGGAATCAAAGGGATCAGGAAGGCTATGAGTCTATACTGATGTGAGGTTCTTTCCCTTCTGGTGACTCTGGTCCCTAGTGTAGTACACAAAATGCAAGTTATGATATTATACGGTTCCTCGACACATGTGTTGCACTTGTATGTCAAGTCATGAATTATACGGTTTTGTAAAATAATATTGATGTTATTAAAATAAAACTTCGAGTAAATGATAGTACAAGTGTTTGTGAATGATCTATCTTTGGATCTTTGTATAGTGACATGTTTGTTAATGTTAAGAAGTTGAATAGTTAATTAGCATTTAATTAGATAGATATTATCTAGCAAAAATATTCTTTAACTTATAAGTAGGCTTCCTACTTCTAAAAGTAAATAAGTCCAAATTTAATTTTCAATTTGAATATCTCAAAAGCAAAACAATTTGGTTAGTTGACATCTTATTTTGCAGTGAAATAGCAAGAAAGAATTAATTTATTTCCAAGAGGTTACTGTTGCCGTGAAATAACAAAAAAGAATAATTTATTCGAAAGATGTTACTTTTGCCTTTCTAAGGACAAAACAGATCTTGAATTCAGCTAAAATTATTGAATTAGGATGAAATATAATAATGTCAGAAGCAGATTTAAGGGAAAATTGCGCAACAAGGCAAAATGTGATATGTATTTACGATAAAATATTATAATTCGTAGCTATATGTAGGGTTTTATATATTGTATTCAAAAAATTATTTTGTATTTTGTATCAATTGTATTTGTATTTTGTATCAATTATATCCACGATACAATGAATATAATATGCATTCATCCCCTCTTTCAAATATATTATGTATCAATTATATCCAATCAAAGATAGGTGAAAGATTTGTATTTTATATCAGTTGAGAACTACCATTGTCATGGGATTGCTCTTCATTTATTTCATCACAAAAACACTCCTAATTTCTCCTACATTTTCTAGTCTCCACACTGAATTTTTACTAATCTGGTAAGTTTGTATCTTATTAATTTCTTTTTCTAATACAAAATTATTTCTATTCTTCCTATACATAATAAGAAAATGAGTATTCTTTAATACATTAAAGACGCTTGTGTAACTCGCCCACTTGTACGGATTGTTTGATCACTTGACACTCTTGTTGGGACCTTGTCCTTCTTGTGGCTGTGACTTTGTCACTCTTAGCATGCCTCTTGATTCGGATCATTTACCATCTTGACTTTGGATTTTTAGTCCGTCTTAAGAATGAAAGTTGTCCATTTTAAGTACAAACTAGAAAGCCATTTTTAATATGGTTTTTGGTTCTCTTGATTATTGGGTTTTGACCCTTCTTGATACCTGTTTGTGCTTGGTGTGACGACATGATGTATATATTGGGCGAGCCTTGTTGTTGAATCTCTTGAAAAACTGTGCTATGAGCGTTCTTGACATTTGGATCTTTAAATATCGAACTCGATACTCTTTATATATTGTTTACTTGATTTATTTATTATGGTCAATTATGCTGCCCTTGACTTGAGAATGATAACTTGCTGAATTTGAGGGCTCCAAACTATAGTTTTTACACCACTAAGTTATATGCTTAGCGATAGTTGTTTCTATCGTAGGGGTTGTTCGAGATGATGCTTGAAGCTGGCCATTGGAGACGGATGTTTTGAGAGCCTTAAGAAAGATCACATTTGCATATAGGCATATATATTTTGTATAAACCTTGGGACCTGTACATGATCTATGTGTTGTGTATTTATATGAGAATTTGAGGGCTGATTTGGTTATGTCACCATGAGTTGTAATATAAGTATCACTATACGTTTTTTTTCTTTTTGGGTGTGTAAACCCAACTCTTGTAATATACTAAATTTACTATTTGTTTTGAATGTTTGTGTGAAGCATGAGCAGGCTGATTTCGGTACTCGAAAACTTGTAATATTCTTGTTATTTCATCCTTGAGTGTGAGGATAATATATATACATGAAAAGCTCGTCGGTTATTTGCTTAAATTACTTTTCGGAGGTCATTATGAATCTAATTCCTCAACTAGATTATAATCAGTATGCCCTCGTTAATTGCTTTTGAATGTCGCAAGTATAAGTTAGGTCTCTTTAAAAAGGGTCGCTATAAGTGTTGGTATCAGAGCCTAGGTTTGTGGTTCTAGGACTTTTGTTGTGAATCACTTGTATAGTTGTTTGCTTTCGGAAGGGTTCTATTTAGATTTTTTTTTTGTTCTCTTAGTTGGTTTATAATAATTGCATCACATGTAGGGTGCATATGCATCAAGTACATATCCCTAATGCAATATGATCTTTCCTTTTGAAGTAATTAAGTCATGGCCACTTCTTCTGACCAACCTATGGAAGCTGCTCGTGAAGGTTCGGGTTTCTCTGTTTCCCAACCTCATGCACTGGAAGGGGTTGAAGAACATATCTCGAATTAGTATGCTCCCCACACTAGTGGTTCTGAAGTGGGAAACCATTAGGGTGTAAGAGCTGGTCCACATCCTCACATGAGTCATGGTACTCAAACCATGAATCCTCATTTTCAACAAATGGCTGAATTCTTCCACTACATGGTTGAATCGATGCATGATCCCCATGGGATTAATTTTGAGAAAATGAGGAAAATGGGTGGAGTGGAGTTTGAAGGCACTGTTGATCCTACTGATGCTGAACAATGGCTTGATCGCATAAAGAGGGTATTTGAGCAGTTAGAGTGTTCAGATGTTGCAAAATTTAAGTATGTTATTTCACTATTACAAAATGATGCTTACGATTGGTGAGTAAGTGTTCCGAATGCCAAGGTAAAACCTCATTTTCTTACTTAGGATGATTTTCTTAAGGAATTTCGTATGAAGTATGTCCCACCTGCTTATTGTGATGCAAAGAAAAAAAAGTTTTTGAATCTAAGGCAACGAGGCATGTCTATTGCTGAATACGAACATAAGTTTCTAAGGCTCTCTCGCTATGCTGGTGGTATTATTAAAGAGGAAAAAGACAAGTGCAGGAAGTTTGAAGACGGTTTAAATGATTCAATTAGGAAGAATGTGGCGATCCTGCAACGTGAGAAATTTTGTAAGTTAGTGTCTGCTGCTTTTACTTGGGAACGACTTAATAAAGAAGAAGCTAGTAGAAATGAAAACAGATTCCGAAAGCCTAGACCAGATTTTGGTGGTCCATAAAAAAGGGGAAGGTTTGATAATTCCAAGGCTGGTAGTGATAAGAGACCACCTCAACAAAGGCAAAACATATTAGAATTTTCTACAGCTAGCACTCCAAATTATGGCCAAGGCAAGCCTCGCGTTTCCACTTGTCAACAATGTGGAAAGAATCATTATGGTACTTGCAGGAGAGCTTTTGGTGCATGTTTCAACTGTGGGAGCTTTGATTATAAAGTGAAGGATTGTCCTAATCCTAATAATGCTCCATCGTTGAGAACTGAAGGCTCAGTTCATAAGCCTTCTGTCAATCCTCCTTAAACTAATAGAGGTGCAGGACCTAAAAACACCCAGGCAGCAGGTACAAGTGGAGATAATCAAGCTAGTGGGCAAAGGACTATTGCACGCGCTTATGCTATGAGGCAGAGGGATGATCAAGATGGACAAGACGTGGTTGTCGGTAAATTCCACTTATTTGGCTTATGCGTGTTTACATTGTTTGATCTTGGTTCTACACATTCCTATATTTGTTCATCACGTGTTCTTCTTGAAAATGTGAAATCTGTGAGTCTTAATTATGATGTGCTGGTTGAAAGTCCTCTGGGTTATCAAGTTGTGTGTAATCGAGTTTACCAAAATTGTCCCTTCGTGATTCAAAACCTAGTCTTCCCTGCTGATTTGATTGAAATGCCCTTCAAGAATTTTGATGTTATTATCGGGATGAATTGACTTTATACATATCATGCAGTTGTAGATTGTAGGTCTAAGCATGTGACTTTTAAAGATCCTACATTTTCACACATCATTGTACAAGGTGAAAGATCAGTGACATCTAGTATTATTTCTGTGGCCTTGGCAAGAAAGTTGATGCGTCAAGGTTGTGGGGCATACCTTGATCACATAGTTGATACACAATTGAAGAGTCCTTGTATCAAAGACATACCTGTTGTGTGTGATTTTCTAGAAGTATTTCCAGAAAACCTTTCGGGATTGCCCTCGAAAAGAGAGGTTGAATTTCTAATCAAGCTTATTCCAGTATCTACCCCTATTTCTATCACTCCGTATAGAATGGCTCCAGCAGAATTACGAGAATTGAAATCTCAATTGCAAGAACTTCTTGAGAAAGGTTTTATTCGACCTAGTGTTTCTCCTTGGGGAGCCCTTGTTTTATTCATAAAGAAGAAAGATGACACTCTTAGGCTTTGTATTGACTATAGACAATTGAACAGAATAACAATCAAGAATAGATATCCACTACCAAGAATTGATGATTTGTTTGACCAACTTAAAGGTGCTAAAGTATTCTCAAAAATTGATTTAAGATCTGGATATCACCAACTGCGTGTTAGAGAGAAATATATTCCTAAAACTGCTTTTAGAACTCGATATGGTCATTATGAATTTTTTGTGATGCCAGTTGGATTGACAAATGCTCCTGCGATATTCATGGATCTAATGAATCGGGTATTCAAGCCTTTTCTTGATCAGTTTGTGGTTGTCTTTATAGATGATATTTTAATATTTTCCAGAAGTAGTGAAGACCATGATAAACACCTATGGATTATCTTGCAAATTTTGAAGGAGAAAGAACTTTATGCTAAACTGTCAAAGTGTGAATTTTGGCTTGATGAAGTAGCTTTTCTAGGACATGTTGTATCAACTGAAGGTGTGAAGGTGGATCCTAGTAAGATACAAGCAGTTGTTGAATGGAGACCTCCTAAAAGTCCGACTGAGGTAAGAAGTTTCTTGGGCTTAGCAGGATACTACAGAAGATTTGTGAAAGGCTATTCCATTATCGCCTCCCCTTTGACTAGGCTCTTGCAGAAGGAAGTAAAGTTTACTTGGGATGATAAATGCCAAGAGAGCTTTGAAACTCTCAAATCCTTGTTGACTTAAGCGCCAATACTTACTCTACCAATTGAAGGGAAAGAATATGTAGTATACAACGATGCTTCTCACCACGGTCTCAGTTGCATTTTGATGCAAGAAGGGAAGGTTATTTCTTATGCCTCTCGGAAATTTAAACCGCATGAAATGAATTACCCTACTCATGATCTTGAACTTGCTGCTATAGTGTTTGCTTTGAAAATATGGCGGCATTATTTGTATGGAGAGAAATGTCATATATTCACTGATCACAAGAGCTTAAAGTACTTGGGTACTCAAAAGGAGCTAAACCTTCGACAACGTAGATGGCTTGAACTCATCAAGGATTATGACTGCATGATTGATTATCATCCAAGTAAAACTAATGTGGTTGATGATGCCTTAAGTAGAAAATCCTTCGCACACATTTCTTTGAGTCCTTTACCCTTGCTTCTTGAGTTAAGAGCCATGAATGTTTGTTTTACACTTGATTTAAATGGTTCAGTTATTGCTAATTTGCAAGTAAAGCCAATATTACTTGAACAAGTGAAAGAAGCACAAAAGGTAGATAAGAGACTTGTAAAATTGACCAGAGAAGTTCAAAGTGGGGAAAAACATGATTTTACATTTACGGAGGATGGTGGCTTATTTTATCAAAACAAGTTATGCGTCCCTAATGATGAAAAATTGAGGAGAGAAATTGAATGAAACACATACTTCGCCATATGCAATGCATCCTGGAGGTACAAAGATGTACTAGACCATCAAAGAAACTTATTGGTGGAATGGTATGAAGAGAGATATTGCGGAATTCATTTCAAAATGTTTGGTTTGTCAGCAAGTAAAGGCAGAACATCAGGTCCCGGTTGGTTTACTACAACCCTTGTCTATGCTGGAATGGAAATGAGAGAGAATAACTATGGACTTTGTTTTGGGACTTCCTCGCACTCAAAGGAATCATGATCCAACATGGGTGATTGTGGACAGGCTAACCTAGAGTGCTCACTTCTTAGTAATCAAGATGGATTACTCACTTGAGCGTTTAGCCGAGTTATACATTAATGAGATTGTAAGACTACATGGGATACCTGTGTTTATTGTATCTGATCGAGACCCACGATTTACATCTAGATTTTGGGGCAACTTACATGAAGTTTTGGGTACTAAGTTGAAATTTAGCACTTCGTTCCATCCTCAAATAGACAGCCAGTCGAAAAGATTGATACAAATTTTGGAGGATATGCTTCGAGCTTGCATTATGGAGTTTGAGGGTAGTTGGGACATACACTTAGCTTTGATAAAATTTTCTTACAATAACAGTTACCAATCGAGTATTGGAATGCCTCCCTATGAAGCCTTATACGGGAGAAAATGTCGGACCCCTCTTTGTTGGAGTGAAGTTGGTGAAAGAAAGCTTGTTGGTCCTGAAATTGTGCAACAAACAGAGGACAAGGTAAAAATTATCAAAGATCGTCTAAAAAATTCTTTGGATAGACAAAAGTCGTACGCTGATCTTAAAAGGCGTGGCATAGAATATCAAGTTGGAGATAAAGTATTCTTAAAGGTGTCTCCATGGAAAAAGATTATGAGATTTGGCCAAAAAGGAAAACTTAGTCCCCGATTTATCGGACCTTATGAGATACTTGAAAGGGTTGGACCAGTTGCATATAAATTGTCTTTGTCACCTGAGTTAGACAAGATCCACAATGTCTTCCATGTTTTTATGCTTAGAAGATATCGTTCTGATCCATCTCATGTTCTTCCAGTTGAATCTATTGAGGTTAATCCTGACTTGACGTATAATGAAGAACCTATCCTAATTCAAGCTCGAGAAGTAAAGCAACTTAGGAACAAGAGAATCCCTTTAGTAAAGGTACTTTGGAGGAACCATTCTGGAAAAGAAGCTACCTGGGAAAGAGAAAAAGACATGAGAACCCAATATCCGCACTAGTTTCGGGACTAGTTTAAGGTAAATTTCGAAATGAAATTTCTTTAAGGAGAAGAGAGCTGTAACACCCCTAAATGCTTAAACAAGTAGTCGCATGTTGTTACATCATCTCGTAATTACTAGAATATGTTTTATTCTCATTTTTGGAACTTGAAATGTTGTGATTTGCAAACTTGCTTGGCATAAATTGTTATCGTAAATTAAGGTATTGTATGAGGGTATTTGCGTAATTATCTAATTATACTTATACATTGGAATTGTGGGTATAAAGTACATAAATATAGTTATATATGTATGTTTTTTGGGCAGCCATCTATTTGTTTGGGCAGCCCCTTTTGGTGACATCTGTCCATGTGGCAAGGATAACTTTTGTAGCTATATATCTTTACACCTCCTTTGATTGAATTCGTTTTCCCTCAAGTCTAAGAACATTATAACATTAGCTAAACAGTTGTTCTTCAAAATCAAGAGAATAACTAAGTCCTTTTGGTTGGAATCCGACACACACACACTTCCTTTTGGTAAGTGACGAAATCTACTTTTGAGCTGGGTAGTGTTTGGTATTTTATGCATATCTCATTCAAAATAACTTAGTTACAGTGAATAAATATGTTTTGGAAAGCTAATTTGTAGACCTACAACTCTTGTGTTTATGTAAAATTCTAATTTAGCTATTATGGATACGAAATAAGGGACGCAACATATGACAAGTTCTGTCCAGATTCTGGAATTAGAAATCCTGTACGTTCAACTGTTTGTGTTTTGATTATATCCTTTTGTACAAAGCGT